AGAAATCGCATGAGAAATATGTCTCCCTGATCATAAGATCGTCGGTGGACCAAATTTTATCAAAGTATTTCAAACATTTCGATATGAAGATTATACACATGGACAGACGTCAGACAGACAGCTAGACGGACGGATAGAATTGTAGATTCAGAAGGCGATTCTTTATCGATCGACATAATAAAAGATCGGTCTGTCTCGAGTCTTTCTGGGTCTTGCATACGTACCATAAGTGCTGTAGGTTATAAAATTCCAGATCAAACCAAAATTAATCAAATGGCTACCACTTTTCCTAATTTCCTTGAGTAGAAGAATAAAACATAAATAATACTACACTGAATTAATAAATTAGCTCAACAAAGATTACTTTTCCCAAATGGAAGGGTTCGCCATATCTTAATAACCGCAACCATAGTTAATTAAATTGTTCTCTAACAGGGATGAACGGATTGCTCGAGTAGCCATCTTTGAAATGAATCATTTTTTATTCACGCAGCTTTGCTCTTGAGAGGGGATACCCGGTTTACCTACGCGTGTACGCAATAAGTAAAAAAGAACAAACACTATGTTCAGGGCTATGATAAGCATGAACATAAAAATTATATTTAAACAATAGACACATGTATATAAATGTACGTGTCTCTCATTACTACATACATTTCTCATATACACCCTGCACATAATTGGTAGAGAGAAAATGAATTAGAGTGACCAGACAATTTAACCACTTAATGGGTATACGCTGTTTTAAAAAGCATATCCATTTCTTATTTCTGAGCGATCGTGCAAAATAATAGTAAACAACACTTCACAAAAGCAACCTTTGTTCTCTCTAAGAGGGAAAATGCTGGGAATTGCGTCAACGTACAATTCCGCTCCTGCAAGTTCCAAATATCTTCACGGATGATCTCTTTAAGTATTTTTGGTAAGTGCAATTATTGTGTGGCAACCAAGCCAAATCTAATCGGAAGCGAATGTCTGATAAGAGTGACTTTCAATTGGTGTTTCGTTTCTTCATATGCAATGAAATATAAATGCGATGCATTATATGGAATAATTTTCCAACAAAGCCCTTTCAGTCCTCTTGCTAGTTAGTTCATGTCAGAATGCGGACTATTATATACGTCACCGGAGGAAAAGAATGGATGTTCAACATTAAAGTCTGAATTAATTTAAGTATATCAGTCTGTCCGCCTGATTGTCTGTCTGTCTGCCTGTTATGAAAGTTCGATTTAAAATTTGGCAGAAACATCGAAAGTTCTTGCACGCGAGTTAGTATTAAACGTGGGCCAAATTACTCGAAAGACACGCCCACAGCAGCACGCAAACTGAGAAGCAATTGGCGCTCAAGAAAGCAAATATTGAGAATATACGGCTTCTTCGACTGCAAAATTATCAAGTGCCTTATAGTGACTTACGCTCGATGCTTCGTGTTATACTCGATGAAACATGCACGTAAGTCTCCTATCAATGGAAATAATTACTCCCATTCGAAAAGGCTTGGCTGGTAAGGCATATATATGATCCCCTTAGTGGTTTTTGCAGATTTTCATTTTCCTCTTTCATTCTCCACTTATTCGCCATATTCGTTAAAAAGATTGATTTTTTCATCCCATTGCCTGTAAAGTTTGCTTGAATGAACGATTTTAATAATGGCGGCTTCTAGAATATATAAGTACACACAAGTGCACATTCGTGTTAGTAGTAATTGTTCGTGTTTTGTATTAATTTATGAATGTATGCGTTTATTGGGTATAAAACTTGAGAAAGACTGTCTGCCCTGTGGCCTAGTGGTTAGGACGTCGGGCAAACAACCGGAAAAACCAGTTTCGATTCGTTATATTGTTGTTGATTTTCTTCAAAGTAAGAATAAAACTGTTTGGCAATTAAGACCAGTCTGCTGTGTAGGTAAAATCTTGAAAGAACATTTGTTCTTCTTCAGTCAAAAAACGGGGTTCCTCTGGCGGTGTTAGTTGGGATATCTGCGAAGTGAATTCTGTGTCGAAAATGGAAACACCTTCCAAATGGGTCTAAAGGTAGACAATTCCATTTTATGTATTTAAGTTACAATTTTTCTTCTATATAACTTACTATTGTGGGCACGAACGGTGGTTTAACTTTACGCAAGAGTAAATCGTCCCATACAATGGAACGGAAAAATGCTTGCTTCTTAACGTCTTCAGCGTCACGCTCCGAGGAACCTAAGCGTCTTTCGGGATTTTTCCTTAGAAGCTAAACGAAGAATTTTCATAACAATTTCATTCGAAATTCATCTCAAGCTATACCTACCCTTCTCATTATGGCTATAGCTTCTAAAGATAAGAAGCGGGGATAACGTACTTCATCGTTGACAATCGAATCAAATACTTCCTCTTCATCATCACCAGGGAAAGGGGACTATATTAAAAAAATACATATGACTTTTATTTTAAATCTCTTTTCATATATAATTATTTTTCTTATTCGCATCATATATCGTTCAAACTTACCTCACCCACTAACATTTCAAATATTAAAACACCTAAACCCCACCAATCTACAGCACGTGTGTAAGAGGTATCAGTCAATACTTCGGGTGCTAAAAATTCGGGTGTACCGCAAAATGTTCCAGTGCGATCTCCAAAGCCCATACCTTCTTTGCATAAACCGAAGTCAGCAATTTTCACGTAACCTAAAAAGAAATTAAAGAAAAATTCGTATATAAAAAGCTTTACACAAGAATTTCCTTTCTTCCTATTCTATCTTTTCCACACAAGCCTTAAAATGTTATCTAAAGAGAAGTGAAAAAAACTATAGTGGGACTCTCCCCACCCTTAAATATTCTTCAACACTTCGTTCCATACAGTTACTCACACACCGACTTTTCAAAATAGGGTTTCATACGGAGAGTGGTCGAAAAAGTAGTCCGATCGCAACCATTTCCGGTAGTATCGGTTCTTGATCTAACGCAGTTTGCCAAGTGGGGTGAGTGTATCAAATTTCATCAAAATATCTCCGAGAAATTGCGACTTGTAGCTTGAACACATATTTACATGGACAGACATCGGACAGATAGACGGACAAACAGCCTTTCTGAGTCGGTTGGTAATCAGAAAATCGATCGGTATATACAAAGGTGAGTCTAACTTAAGCGTTTCTGCGTGTTAATACGTGCGCACAAACTTGATGTATTCTGCACCACAAGTGGTGTAAGGTATAATAAGTCTTTGTGTAAATAAAAAAAAGAAGAGTTTTGGTGATAAGTAAAACTCACTATTGCTTCTCACACTTTCTTCAACTCTTCTTTTTTATTTAACTTTATTCAATTCTTATATTTGAATTGTAAACGGGACGTGGGATGGAGCGGTTAATAGTTCATCGCGACAGAATTTTAACTTGTTATGTTTCACTTTAGAGCATTGATAAAAGATAAGAAAAAAGGTGTTCCACATTTGGTAGTGTGAATTTCTCTGTGTGTATTTTTCATCTCTTTTCACTATAAAATTGACACCGTGATAGACCTTGTTACTATTAAAGGACTTACTTTCCAAGACGTCCTTGTATGGGAAGAAGTCGCAAAAGCGGACAAATTTCGATTACAAATTTCTATAATTACGATTCGATATTATTATGCAAAGTACAGTGTTCCGTAAAGCCTTATAACTTCTATAATTTCCAACTGACGAGGAAAAATCCGAAAATTTTTGTTAAAAAGAACTGAGTTGCGTTGAGTTGCACGCTTTTGCTCTGACCAATTTGGCCCATTTTCAATGCCAGCCTGCGTTCAAGAACTTCCAATGTTTCCGTCAACTTTAAAGCCGATAGCTCCATTTTTGCGGCCAGGAAAATATTTAAAGCAGACATTACACTAATGGACAAACGGACATTCGTAAGTCGATGCAGAATTCGATTCTGATCAAGAATATATATCCGTTGTGGGGCCTCTTATTGGCGTTGCAAACGTTTTGACAAAATGAATGTACCCCTCATCCTTCGGCGATGTACTTGCATTTCGTTACAGTAGGGTTATCTAGCTTAACTACGAGCGGTTGTATCATTTTTTGGTAAGACTAAGTCTCCTATTTAAAAACTTGTACTATTTTTGTAATTCTATTTTTAATTGGGATTGTAATAGTAAGTAAGGTTTGGCTCTTAGGGTCTAGATGCAAATCTTAATTTGGTTTTCAGAGTTCAAGTAGATAATTGCGAATACTATCTACTTTTTCACTTTCTACAGAAGAGAGGAAACACGCATTTAGTACTCTG